TACTTCGTCAGTCTGCCTGTTCTGCTCTCCCCTCTGGCTCTGGTGAATTCTCTCACCCTCCCACACTTCTGACTGTACCCAGAAAGAAAAAGAAAAATACCGCATGGTCTTACTCATAGCAGGAATCTAGAAAACTTAAATAAGAGACCAGGAAAAAGAATAACTATAAGAAAGTAAAAATCAAAATCAACAAACAACTATGAACCAGAGACACTCTATGGGGGCTGGGGGGTGGGGAAGGGAGGGATTGGGGTCAAAATCAAGAGGTTGCAATTATATGGGGAATATAAAAATAAAATTAAATTTAAAAAAAAAGAAAAAAATTATCATTGGGAAGATTTTATGACAATATGGGGACCTTTTTATAATATATTAAAGGAAAAAGCAGATTGTTAGATTGTATGCCCACTTATGATTATACTCATGAAAAATGTATGCTCTTAACAACTGAAATCTAATAAAATATACAGAATGTTTAATAAAAAAATGATGTTTGCTATGAGTTTGTCATATATGACTTTTATTATGTTAAGATATGTCCTGTTTATCCCAAGTTTTTTGAAGACCTTCATCATAAATGAGTGTTGGACTTTATCAAATGCTTTCTCAGCATCTGATCATGATATGATCATGATATGATCATAAGGTTTTCATTTTTCTTTTTATTGATGTTAATTATGTTAATTGATTTTTGGATGTCAAGCAATCCTTATGTCCCTGGAATAAATCCCACTTAGTCGTGATCTATAATCCTGTTGATGCATTGTTGGATTCAGTTTGCTAAGATTTTATTGAGGATATTAGCATCTTTGTTCTTTAGGGAGAATTGTCTGTAGTTTTGTGTGTTTCTCTGTGTGTGTGTGTGTGTGTGTGCATGCACACCTTTAGTTTTGGTGTAGTGTGATCTTGATCTTGTAAAATGTATTTGGTAATTTTTGTTCTTTCTCAATTTTTTGAAAGAGTTTTTGTAAACATAGACATTAGTACATCTTTGAATGTTTGGTTTGTTTTCAGGGAGGTTTAGATTTGTTTCAATTTCATTGCTTGTAATTGGTTTCAATATATTTTCTATTTCTTCTTTGTTCAGTTTTGGGTGATTGTATAGTTCTAAGAATTTGTCTATCACATCTAGATTGTTGAACTTATTTGCATACAAATTTTCATAGTAAGCTCCAATTATCCTCTGGTATCTGTTGGAATTTCTTCTCTTTCTTTTATAATCCTACTAATTTGGGTTTCTCCCCTTTTTTTCTTTGTGAGCCTGGCTAAAGGTTTGTCTAATAATTTTTTTCCAAAGAACCAGCTTTTGATTTTATCGCTCTTTTAGATTGTCTTTTTTAGTTCTATTTCATTTATGTCTGCTTTAATTTTCATTATTTCCTTTCTTCTGGCTTTTGGACTTTTGTTGTTCTTTTTCTAGTTCTTCAAGATGGGAGAGTAGATTGTTTTCTTTTTTGTTATTTCTTATTTCTTGATTTGGGTCTGTATTGCTATATATTTTTCTCTTAATATCACTTTTGCCTAGGCCCATATGTTCTGGAAAGTTGTATCATATTTGTCACTTGTCCCAGGTATTTTTTAATTTCTTCTTTGATTTCCTTGTTTACCCAGTAATCTCTCAGTAGCATGTTGTTCAGTCTCCATGTAATGGACAATCTCCTTTCATTCTTTTCATAGTTGATTTCTAGTTTGATATCTTTCTAGTTTGATGTTCAGAGAAGATACTTGGTATGATTTCAGTCTTCCTGTTTTTGTTGATATTTGTGTTATTAGTGTATATTAGTGTTATTAGTCCTTTAGAATGATCCATGTGCACTTGAGAAAAATGTGATTCAATATTTTGGGGCTGCAGTTTCTATAGATGTCTATTAGGTCCACGTGGTCTAGACTTCATTTAGGGCTATTGTATTCTTGTTTAATTTCTGTCTTGTTAATCTGTCCCTTGGTGAGTGAGCTGTTGAAGTCTCCTACCACATACATATTTTCTCCAATATCTGTTTTCAGAATTGATGGTAATTGTCTACTGTATTTTGGTGCTCCCTCATTTTGTGAGTATATATTGATGAGTGTTGTCTTTCTGGTATATTGAATAGGACAGATTTCTTAACCTCAGATATGCCTCTGGTACCCATCTTGAACAAGAAGTCAGTGTGCAAAAACTTCCCAAGATGGGCAAACATCTTTTCTTCCTGGAAAATGTTTATCACAGCTACTGTGGCCTTCACTTTCATGTCATCAGTTTGCTACTGAGATGACTCTGCATATAATTTTCATAAAAGGCCAGGAGCTAGGGTAAATTTTATGGAGTTTTAAATCTATGAGTTTTGAGGTATCTGAAAAATATACATAGTCTTTTTATTTGTAGACTTTTTTGATGCAATGAAGATGAAACTTTTTGTAAATACATTGAATAACCAGCTGAGAAATATCTGAATTAATGTATGCTTTAAATAGAAGGGGGAAACTATTATTTTTATTAACGTTGCATGTTTAAGTTAATTTTAGGCTAGCATGAATTGTTCAATTTAATCTTACACCTTTTGAAAAAATGTTAAAATGCATATACTCTGGACTTATAAGTCTACAAAGCCTTATTGAAAGTATAGGGAATTTGGGCCTCCCCGGTGGCACAGCAGTTGAGTGATGGGTTGCGAAGCTGCCTGCAGCCTCTGCAGCACCGGTTCAATCCCCGGCTGCTGGGGAGGGTCCCACATGGTGCACAAACCTCTCCTGCTGCCCGCTGCTCCCCTCAGCAGTGTACTTCAGTCCTTCTGCCTGCTCTGCTCCCCGCTCTGGCTCTGGTGAATTCTCTCACCCTCCTGCACTTCTGACTGTACCCAGTGCTTGTATAAATAAATAAATAAATAAATAAATCTTTAAAAAAAAGTTATAAAAAGTATAGGGAATTTTACAGGGATGATAACCAAGATGAAAATGCATACATTGTACAAAAATGAAAAATGATGCAAAAATATATAAAATAAAAATTAAAAGAAAACTGAAAATGGAAATAACAAAATAAGGGATAGGTTTGTGTGTACACTCAAGGAACTTACATTCTAAGGAAAGATGTTGATATTTTTAAACAATTTTCTCACTTCAGTAGCTTCAACAATGTAAGAGGCTGTGGACAGTTGCAAGAGGCTCCTACTGTGACCTTCACCCAGGCATTGGTTTGCAAAAGTAGAAAAGTCCACAATATTAAAGAATTTTGACCCCTGATTATGATTTTGCATATTAGCCACTTTGAAGGTAAGGAGAATAGTCCATCCTGAGGACACAGTCTCCGGGTTGCTGTTGACCTGCATTACTCTGTGTAAGCAATGAGATGTGAAGAAAACAAAATAGACTAGACAGGAGTGTGCTCTGCAATGTGAACAGAATTAATGTTCCCCACAACCAACCAAAATTCCCAAGCTGCCAATCCCAGTCATGTCTTCCTTTGCCTTTTTATTATCAAATGAAACTCTTAGAGACACAGCCCTATTAGAGAGTTTCTTGATTTTTTTATTTCACTTCATGGCAAGCCCCATTTCATATGCCACTCACATTTGTTCTCTCTGTTTTGCACTCCAGCATCCCTGGCATGCACCTTGATTTTGAGTTTAAGCAGATAAACTGAAATTTGCACAAAAGCTGAAGCCAAGCACATTATTCCACCAAATTCAACTTCTTCATCCAGTAGGTATTTTAATAATCCCTTTGTACTCTCTTTAGGCTGAAGTTGTGAGCCTTACCGAAGCCCAACCATTACTCCCAGCACATATAAGGCAGGTTTACGGTGGCAAACAATCACAATTCTTACAGCATCAAGACTATTGAGAGGTTGTAGAAAGAGCTAGAAGTCCACAAACCAACAACCAGAGACATTGAGCTAGACGTTGTTGAGTTCTCAATATTTTCCATTCTTCAGAACATATTATCTTCTAAAAAGTAGAAACTATATGCATTTGCTTAATACTCAGGTTAAATGTTTTCTTCAAATATATTATGTATACGAAGGTAAATCTGGGGCCTCCTTGGTGGCGCAAGGGGTTAAGACGCAACACATGAAGCTATCCCGCCCAGGGAGCTACCCAAATGGCGCAGCAGACCTCTCCTGACTCACCCGCTGCTCCCCTCAGCAGTGTATTTCACTCAGTTTGCCTGTTCTGCTCCCCACTCTGTCTCTGGTGACTCCTCTCACACCCCCCCCCCCCCACACACACACTTCTGGCCTGTACCCTAGTTCTTGTGTGCCTAAATAAATAAATCTTTAAAAAAAGGTAAATCTGTCTTTGAACATATACTCAAAATCATTTCTCAGTAGAACTTTCCTATAAGAGAATGGAAGCAAGGATTCTAGCTGTTTTGAGTAATATATTAACAGATTTATATAGAAAATAAAACATTTTAGCAACCTGGTTTGCAAATACCTACTAGACTGCAGATAACTCATGTAAATAATAGTGTTCTGAAATTTCCCAAGAAGGCATTTAAATAAGAGAGATATCAGAGTAGCTTCTTAATGCCATGCTCATGCTCCTCTCTAATGGATAGAATTTCTTAGAAACCTAAGAAATTAGATAATAATACAGATTAGAAGAAATGGAAACAGCCATTTAACACTGTATTTTGCCGAATGGAAACACATAATTACAACAGTAAGTATCTATTGACCTTTCATTCTACTGCCTTGATGCCTGCTTTAATAAATACTTTTTGCAAATTTGAATATGAAAACATTGTTTACTTAGTGAAAAGGTCTCTAATATAACTGTAATTGTGTTTGTTCATTTCCATTTCTCTGAAAGTACCACTATTTCCACTAGTAAATCCTCTATTACTGGGAAAGAATTAGGTTTCTAGAAGTTTGTTTGAATCAAGAATAGCCTAATGAAGTCACAACATCATGAACTTACAGACTATATTTGGACGAATAACTGTGATTAAACATATTTGTGTTCAGATAAGTGTTTTAATGCTTATTTTGCTTTTTCCCATTTTCTTTCTTCTTACAGATTTTTAAAAACATGGGCTCTGATGACACAGTACAAGGGCAAGGAAGTCGGAGGTTGATCAGTTTTTCTCTCTCAGGTATGGATTTGCTCACCTCAAGGCCTTATTGAGAAAATAAGAATGTCAAACTACATTCAGGAGACCCACTTCAGTTTAACTGTTGCCTACAATTTATTCAACCTTTCTGTGCTTAATTTCACCATATAAAACAAAATTTAGAGATATCTATCCCATTCACCTTGGCCTCATAAGAATATGGAAGATTCAATAGTAATGGATATGAAATCACTTAGAAATGAGAAGTGATTCTTCTACTGTTTCTCCATTGCCAAGGAGCAGTAAGTGGGAGTTTATAGAGTGGAGGTACAGGATAATCTGAAGAAGCAAGTTAGCAGATCCTTTGTGTAAGTAAAGGACACGTGATGTCCAATAGGTAAATCAAGAAAAGCTGAGCTTTCCTTGTACATTTGTTTAAAAACCAGTGAAATCCAAATAAAATTTGCACTTTAGTTACTAGTGTTAATATAATAGTTGAATAATTTCCTTTTTAATTTTCATAATGTCCCACAATTCTGTAATATGTTAACAATGGGTAAACTGGGTAAAGTGTATGTGGAAAATATTTGTACTAGCTGTGCAACTCTTCTGTACATCTAAAATAATTCAAACTTAAAAGTATGAATAAAAACTGATTTTCTCTAGCTAAAATTATATACAAAACTCAGAGCCCCATATCTTAATTTTAACCTAAGTGTTCTTTGAAGAGACACAATGGCATGGACTTCTAGAATTCCATGATTGCCTTACTTTGTTGTCAAACCAAAACATTTTGCTGATAACACATGTCCAAGACCTTAGATCAAATAAAGTGCAAGGGCATCATTGGGATATGGACAGTCAACTGTGGCTTTTCTTGTATATTTGAGTGCTAGTAAAGCAAATGTATATCTAAATATCCATTGATAAGTGACTACAGTAAGGTCACGGATAAAAGGTAAATAGACAAAAGTCAATCACTTCCTTATACCACCACTGAACAGTGGAATTTGAAGTTAAAAACACAATACCATTTACATTAGCACTAAAACAAAATGAAATACTTACTCATAAATCTAACAAAATATGTATCTAATCTACATGAAGACAACTCCAAAACTGATTAATGAAACCAAGGAAGAACTAAATAAATGGAGAGATATTTCAGATTCATGGATAGGAAGGTTAACATTTTCAAGATGTAATTCCTTCCTAACTTCTAGAGAATCAATGCAATCCCAACCAAAACTCCATAAAGTCATTTTGTAGATATTGAGAGACTGATTTTTAATTTTATATGGGGAAGAAAAAAATACAGAATAGCCTAAACAATATTGAAGGATAAATCAAAGTTGGAGGACTGACATCACCTTACTTCAGGATATATTAAAGTTACAGTAAGGATTTTATGACCAGAGTCTCCACAAGGAGAAAAGACAGTAACAATTGGAGAAGGTAGGAAATCCTCAGATACAGTCTGTTCTAAACTGATATTGGGTGACTGGAAAAAAGGAAAAAAAAAAAAAAAACCTGCCCCTCCCCTGGCTGGACGTTTTTGACCTTGGAATTCAATAGCCGATTAAAACTGTGTGAACTTGTGTCTCTCAGAGACAACTCTGTATAAAGGATTGACAGGCAGCAGACAATGATAGCTCCCAAAGATGTTTTCCAGTTAGCTTCAGTAAGTCCTAAGAAACTGCAGGGGCTCCTCCATTCAGTTTAAGGAGTCTTCTGAACAACATTCATTTTACACGGACTGCAACTTTATGTGAGGTCTGATGCAGCTTTATGTGTCGAGCCACCAGTCCTCTGGCAACAATACTTGTGCCTGGATCTCAGGGGAAAGAAAGGCTCTGTCCACAAGACCTGCTAATATAAGAACGAGGCTGCAGCAGGATGGTCAGTTGGAGTCTGGGGCTTCTGGGGTACCCTGCCAGCAGAACCTATCCTTACATCATACAGCGCAGAGACATTCCCTGACCAAGCAACTACAGCACCCAAGAAGGCTCATATCCTTACTGCCACCTATTTGAACCCCGCCTCTCAGACCTCCAGTCTATAGATTAGGTTCTTGGGCCACAACCATATGCTGGCTTTCAGGGTCTAGTCATCCTGATTGCTTTCAACCAATAAAACATGAGAGAACGCAGCATGTTAGGCCAACAACTTGAGCCAATACCTTGAAACCTTTAATTATAATGCAAAACCATCACTGCAAGAGTGAAAAGAAAAACTATCTAACCTAATCCAGAGAAATAAACACAGGGCAACAAATAGGATGAGGAGGCAAAGGAATTCACACCAATCAATGGACCAAGACAATTGGAAAAATACCTAGTGCAACAGAGTAAGAAAACTACTGAAAGAACATTTTAGATCAACAGTCCAAATGATATTCACTGAAGTAGGTGAACAATGGATGAACAAAATGATAGCAACAACCAGAACAGTGAAAATATTAAAAAGTGCTTTACTAATGTCTATTAAGCACATCTGATCTAATTTGTAATTTAATATTTGCTTGTACATTTTCTGCTACATGATTTATCCATTGATTTAAGTGGGGTGTTGAAGCTTTTACTACTTTTGTGTTGCTTTAATGTCTCTATTTTGCCTATTAATAATTTCTTTAAATATTTTGATGTTATTCCATTAGGAGTACATATATTGATGAGAGTTAGGTCTTCCACATGTATATATAATCAGTATGTAAGTATATATATATAATTAGTATATATAATCAGTATATAATATTGTAGTGGCAGGATGAGCACAGTGTAGGTTGTCTATGACCGGAGCAGATGGGTAAAGGAGAAGTCCTGAGCTCTAGGTGGTTTTTACAGGCTTTTATTGGGGTTTACCAGGTACACAGCAGGCAGGGGTGCTGGGGGACTGGAAGCCCTGCCATCCTCCCTGCCCCCAGCAAGTCTTCACTCTTTCTGGGCTCTCCACTGTTCTCTCATAGTCTTGTTCTCCCTCTTCTCATTTCTCCTGCTGGTGTCCCCACGAAACCACCCTTATAAGCCCAGTCTCTCAGCCCAGTATCTCACCTACGGAGGCCCACACCCTACTCCAGGTGCTGGCCATCAGGCAGGCATGCATTCAGGACCACAGGGCTCCATCATCAATCCTAATGGCAGGAGGACGGAAAAGCCTGATACTTTATTTATCCTACAATCCACCCCCTCGGGGTTTTCTGCCATACAGTCTATATACAAGTTAAATACATGTTTCTCTTGGTGAATATGAACACTGCAGCCATGGCCCACAAAAGCAAGTGAAATACAACTGAATAGAGCAACAAAATACAATGGAACACAAATAAGTCTAGTCAGGGCACCAACCTAGTGGCAAAAGACAAGATTATTGGCACCAATAGATGATCCACCACAGCTGCCGAAGGCACTGTTCATACAAGGGAGGGGAACCACTCAGGCATCTGCCATCACATGCCAGAGACGCCATCAGGCTTCCTGGCCTTCTCTAGCTGTGTCTCGGCCACAAACCACACACAGCATCCACCCTCAGGATGCACTAACTCTTGGATTGGTGATTTTTTTACTCTTTGGGGCTAATCGCCCAATCCCCAGGGTTTTCTGTCTATGGTCATTCCAATGCTCAGCTTTCATAGCCACCAATGCGACACGCAGACCCCTGCACTTAGGCCAACACTTTGCACATGCACATAGGTCAGGGATCCATGGATACAAGCTCCACATGTGGCCTCTCTTGGGTCCCCTCTTCGGCTATGGACTCCACCACAAGCCACGTTCCCCACCTGTCCCCCAAGGACGGGTTCCTCAGCTCCTCACCCTTGCTCAACAATGTACAGGGCATAACCCACAGGTGATTTTAAGAGACTCATTGGCCCTTCTTCAACATACTTAAGCTGCGTAACAGCCGCTCAGGGCTTCCCAATATCAGCATCAGCTTTTACCTTTCCAGGTTGGCTTTTTTTGATATATCTCTCCTGCCTGGCTGCAGAGAACTTGGTGAGGGATTCCTCCCTCAGCCAATCATGGGCTCTTCTACCAAGGCCCACTGGCCATGCCTTGATTTTCATCTCCTGGGGTTTACAAATGATACCATTGTAAGGTCAGGAGCAGGACACGGTGTAGGTTTTCTTTTCAGATTACCAGGTACAGGGCAGGCAGGGGCGCTGGGGGACCGGTAGACTGGCAGGCCTCCCAGCCCCCAGCAGGTCCTCACTCTGGGCTCTCTGGCCTTCTCTCTGCTTCTCTTGTTTCTCTCTCGGGTTCTGCTACTTCTCGGCCTCTGTTTCGGCTTCTACTGGCATCCCCGTGACGCCGCCCCCAAAAGCACAGTCTTAGCCCAGGTGAATCCCATCTACCTATGCCCACACCCTATTCCAGGTGCCCGCCATCAGGCATGCATTCAGGACCGCAAGGATCTGCCATCTATCCTGATGGCGGGAGGGCAGAAAAGCCTGACATTCTTCCTTACCCTACAACCACCAGCAGGGTCCCCAAAACATATCAACCTGCCAAGGTCCTCTGTCTTTTGGTGGAATTGTCAGTCCAAGTCCATTAGTCCAAATGCATTGGCTTTTCCCCTTTTCAGCACTGGATGAGCTCCAAATTGTGGTCTTCTTTCTTTCCCAATAATTCTGCTGCCTCAGGGTCATGGCTGGTCCTCTCAGGCCATCTCCTCCTCCACGCAAGGTCTCATCCCTCAGCTCCCAAACCTTGTCCAACTCCTGTGCTGCCATGGCACCTCCAGTGTTGTCACAGGATCTCCATCTGCTACTCCTCAGTCCCTCCAGGTCTTTGGAGGGCTCCATACCCGTCTGCTTTGGATTATCTTGCTGACTTACGCCAATTGTAGTAGCAGGATATGAGCACAGTGCAGGTTGTCTATGACCCAAGAAGATGGGTAAAGGAGAAGTCCTGGAGCCCTCAGTAACTTTTACAGGCTTTTATTGGGATTTACCAGGTACACGGCAGGCAGGGGTGCCGGGAGGCTGGCAGGCCTCCCAGCCCCCAGCAAGTCTTCACTCTTTCTGGGCTCTCCGCTATTCTCTC